CTTCTCAAAAAAAATTTTTTGGAGTGCGTGGCTAGTGCCTCCCCCCCCTCCCTTCCGAAAGCAAATTCTGAGATCTCCACTGATAATAACCTACCAGGATACAAGAAAGATAACTTTTGTCACGGATCGTACAGTGCCTGACAGAATCTCGATAGCAAGGCCGGAAATTCCGCTGAAAACTCCGATCAGGCAATCGATATCCCCACCTGAAATCGAATTCTACTTGTCCTATCTCCAGATACTCAAGTTGGCAAACCTATCAATGACATGAAATCGTTTCGCATGCCAGATGTGTGTTTCAAGCCAAACCATCCTACGCTGTCTTCTGATGTAATTCTAAAACATGCATATAGATGGCGAAGACCAGCTAATCTCAAAGTAAACGATGTCAAACGCAGTCAACTGACCAACAATAAATTTCTAGATCTCCTGCGAAAGAACCTGCTTGGAGGTTTCTTGCGATGCTTCGAAGTGGCTAAGAATGGAGCAGCGAAGTTGCGCAAACCTTTCGGAAAACGACGAACTTCGTAAGCCATAGCGCGCCTGGAAATATCACTCGTAAACATAACAAAAGTCTTAGGCAGAAAACCGAAACTAGCATATGGTTTAGACAAACATAAACCTATCACCCATCTCGCGCCAATTGTAACTAACCACCAATCAAGCGAGAATTCAATGTAAACTACGCAAATTGAACATAATGAAATAATTTACAAATAAAACACAATTAAGAAAATAAACCATGGAACTAGAGGACAGCTTACTGCGTAATTTTTAGCCCGAAAAAGATTAAGAATAAATCTCTGAGATTAATCGGACACCCACCTTCTCATATGACGTGGAAGTCTCTGTGCAGCTGTTCTTGGACCTTTGGTCACTTCACCCGAAACAAGATTGGAGTTGTCTACCACCTAGAACAGCATTACGATGCGATATAGGGAATACGGACATATCCAAAGCACCTGTAGAAGATCAGCTACTTGCGCTGCCCGTTCCTCGAGGTAGCTGTGCACTCGCACAAATCGCTCCTTTGAAAGATCTTCTGACTCCATTATTCAGCTGCGAGTAAAGCTGTTGGACCACTTATATGAACCTTCAGATGCTAAGATACAGTGAGATCACATTCTCAAGAAAACCATGCGGCAGCGTATAAATTCATGTCACAATATCAACAAGTAACAACTTTGTACAACAATCCTAAACAAGCCCATATAAGACGCATATTCGGTGTTATTAAGAGATCTGAACCAGTCTAAAAATTCTGCCTTAGACGTCAGTTTTTTCTTCTTCAAGAGCAGCTCTTTTCTCAGCAAGAATTTCTTGTTGAATGCCTCGCCTTTCGTCAAATAACAAAGCATCCTGGAGTTGTTTGAATCAATTTACAAATGATCAAGAATAACAACAATAAGGAGATATTCGAATAATAACGTTACCTGTTCTAATGGAGCATCGATAATCTCTGCAACTAGCTTTTTACGCAGTTCGATTT